ATAAAATTTAGTATTACTTTTTTCTAGTTCTGTAAAGACTGTGGTTGGTATTTTAATGGGGATTCTACTTTTGGTAATTCAACATTCTTAATTCTGCCAATCCAAAATCAAGGGATGTCTTTCCATTTTCTAAAGTCATGGTCAATTTATTTCTTCACAATTCTTTGGTTTTTATTATGACCTTTACCTCCTTGGTTAGATTGATTCTAGCCAGAATATTTAATTCTTTGACAAGCTCTGTTAATGCAATTGTTTTCCTAATTTCTTACACATTAATCTCATTGGTAAACAGGGATGTGGTTGAGTTTTGTGTCGATTTTTAAACTTTTATTAGTACATTTTTGCGGTACATAATGACTACATTGATTATGGCAGTTGTTGCATGTATATCACACATGTGAATTCTCTTTATGTCCTCTTTGCTTCCCTTCTTCCCTTCCTGCTTCCATCTCTTGGCTCCTTTCCCATTTAGAAAAGATTTATCTCCCTGTTTCCTATTATCCTTTATTTGGCTCTTTATTTATACTTTGACTTTCTCATATAAGAGAATTATGTGATATTTAAGCTTGTGTCTCTGATTTATTTCACTTAACATTATGGTCTCAAATGGATCTATTTTCCTACAAAGGACTCAAGTTCATCATTCTTCATAGCAGAATCATACTCCATGGTGTTTAATTACTACATTTTCCTTATCCATTCATCTGTTAATGGCTGTACAGGCTGCTTTTAGGATTTAGCTATTAAGAATTGTGCTGTCATAGACATGAATAGGGATGTATCACTGAGATATGATGTCCTCAGCTCTTTCAGGAAGATACCTAGAAGAGTAATAGCTGGGTCAAAGAGCATCTCTGTTTTCAGTTTTTTGAGGAGTTCTTATACTGATTTCCACAGTGGTTGATTTAGTTTAAATTGCCACTAACGTAAAAGGTTTCCTTCTTCTCAACTGCTTTGCCAGCATTGTCACTTTCCTGAGTTTACCAGATCTTAGAGACTTTTGATGGAGGTTTTGTTTTGTTTACAATATCCCTATCCAAATAGGGATAATCTGTTTTCTATCTTTCTGTTTATATTCCTTTTATTTTATTTTTTTTGCTTGAGTGCTATGCCTAAAATGTTGAAAAGTACATTGAACAGAAGCAGTGGTTGTGAACACCCTTTCTCATTCCCCCTTTTAGTGTGAATTCTTTCAGTTTTTTTCAATTTAATAAGATATTGGTTATGGTCCGGTTAACCCGTTTAGCCCTAACTCAAACAATACATTGTGGAAGATGATCTTAATACTACAGGATGTGAACTGAAGACTATAGGATGTGATTATGGGTGCGGTAGAAGCAGCTGAACTAGATGGGCTTTTTATTGGGCATATCAATCCAGTCTTTATGCTTGCTATTTTCAAATATCAATAAAGAAAATCAAAAGTGGCCTTTTGTTACAGAAGAAACACAAAGGTGCACATCCTTGTCTTATCCTCTAAGTTGTCATTCCTGTATAGATCTCAATATAGTCTATAAGGCCCCTGATCATTTTAATAGTCTATATAATATCCTTCTATGTGCTACCTTGATTGCATCATGTAAACTGGACCTGGTGTGCAGGATACGGTAAGTAGTTTTATTGCCCTAGTAAGATATGGTAGTGGCTAGGCTGTAGATGATTTAGGAGATGTTATTGCCTCTTTCACCTGTTACCATTAAGAAAGGTGCATAGCACTCACAGCATGTTCTTATGGTATGGAAAAAATTTCCTACTTTGGGGAATATTCTTCTACCTTATCTACTGGGCAAGCCCTAAGGTTGCAATTTCAACTACTATCCAAAGCTATAGGAAATCAAGGATATCCTACATCACATCCTACCACTGAGGTTATATACCTGGCAAATCCAATACTATTAGACATGTTTCTGGCAAATAAGGATGGTGAATGGATGCTCTCAGTCAATAACAGTATTATAACACTAATCACTAATGAGTGTTGTGACTCACTGGTTTTTTGCTATACCCTGGGAAGGAACAATGGCAAGAATGAAGAAAAGATAGACAAGAGCTGCGTCAGGTGGAGGAGACCTCTATACCTGATGGGCAAGAAGACCTTAACAACAGTCGGGGTGTTTATTTATACTTTTGCAAAGTTAGTATAATGAGAGGCAAGGTTGCCTAGCAACTAATGACTGAATTATCCAGGCAGGATGCTTTTCTCAAGACTGGGTAACTTGACTGCTTGAGGCACTCTGACTCTGTCCTGCCCTCACACATAGGACCAATTTCCAGCTTCAGCCACTCCCAACACTCTTGAGGAAAACTAGGCTTTCTCTTACAGAGCTACTTGATTTCTGAAGAGCAAAGTACAGTTAAGTACTAGCAAAAATTATAATATTGTGTCTCATGTAAGTCTAAATGTGGAGAAAATATTTAAGACAACAATATTACAAATGGAGGAAGGTAAGGGAATATTACCTTACCTTACCTTAAAGGGATATTAACTTTCTATACATTATCTGGTAAATGGAAACAGGATGATTTTTACATATGTGTGTGTAGTATGATAATGAAATACCAAAAGCTATACAAAAAGAAACTCAAAACAACATATATCAAAATGGAAATCTAAAAAAATTTGCAATAGCATATATGAGGACAGGAATAATACAACAAAGACATGAAAATCAGACAAAAGCAGGCAAAAAATAAAAAGGCAGGTTGAAAATATTAATTTTCATGTTAAATATAAAAAACTTTCTAAATCTATTCAAAGATAGAAATTGAGTGAATTTAAAAGTATGATCCAAACCTATGCTGCCTAACTGAAACTAACTGCAAATTAAATAAAGGAGGAAGAACGAATATTGTGAAATATTAATCACTAGAAAATAGGAAGGGCTCTACTCCTATTACATAAAGCAGAATTCAAAGTGAAATGTTACTAAAGATAGCTGAATATTACATAATAATAAAATGGTTCTGAAAGGCGGCTGAAGGAGAGAGAAGAGCAGGTTAGGGTGATGTGATACGAGAAGAACTGGATCCACCACTGCCATCTCTGAAGATGAAGCAAGAGGTCAGGAGTCCTGGAATGCGGCCTTCTCCAGTGCCTGGAAAAGAGAAGAAGGTGAAGTCTCCTCTACAGCTCCTCTAGGAAGTGACAGGGGGCCAATCAGCATCAGCCAGAGGATAAAAGCAGTGCCAACTTTTTTGGGTGGCCATAAAATAGTAAGAGAATACATATCCAGTTAAGTTTACAGGCATCATTTCTACTAGAATCTGCAAATCATTTCAGAATTGATGTGCTCTTTGTGATTTTTAAATAGCAATTAAATTTCTTTTTTTTTTTTTTAAATAAAACTTGAATAAAAGAGAAATAGCCATAACAAGCCTTTGGAAGTCTTAGGCAATGAAAAGATTATGGTTTCCCCACTTGGGTTTAAAAATAATAATAGAAAATAAACCTTAATTATCAAGTGATTGTAGAACTACAAAGTGTTCTGAGTTTTGCCATAAAAACTACTTAGGCAATATTTAAAATACCAGAAATGAAATTATTTTAAGAGCACGATGGGCGCCTTCCATCCCTGCTGCATGCCCTTCGTCTCCCCATGAAAGGAACTGATTACCTTGAGAGGAGATTTTTCTCTAATCATATGAAGGCCTCTGAAGTCATACACAATAGTCGATTTTCCTGGGAGGATGAGTATGCTGTGGTTTTGTGACTGGGATAAATGGGGCAATGAAGAAATAAATTACATCTCTGTAATCTTCTCTTTGTTCCTGCTATTATAGTTTTAACAAAACACTTCTAGATATCACTGGTCCAAACAAGAACTAGTCAGTGTACCAACTTGGTCACACAATAAGTTAACAAAACTTTTATGCAGTTCTTACATAATTGAGAAATATCTAACATATGTCACTTATAATAATAAACATTCTTTTTCAGATATGCTTATGAGGATGAGTAATGCATTTTTAAAATCCTTAGCCATTAGATAATTAATTGCAAATTTATTTCTTCTCTAAATATTTCAGGAACACATATCTTACTGTGAATAGGTAATGAAATAGAAGCTTTCTTGGACTGACTTTAGTCTGTATTATATTTCTCATGTTCTTTCCTTGCTAGTTTTTTGTCCTAAATTTTCTTGTATGCCTGACAAATTAGGCAGTATTCAAATTTTATTAATGAACTCAGTACTTGCACATTGAGTTAGAAATAAACAAAGATTAGTTGATCTTATTTAAAAAGAAAGACAAGGAGACCTCAAGATGGTGACCTAGAGGGAACTCGGATCCACAGTCCTCCAAAACCAGCGGATATGCACCTCTGGAAGGAGACCAACAATCACAAGATCAAAACCTGAGAACAAAGCATCCAGGTGAAATCCAGAAAGACCAGTCATTAGAAAGAACAGTGTATCACTTGAAACATGTTATTACTTTAAGGCATAGATGCTACCACATAACAGGAGCAGCTGGTTATCAGCCCTCTGGTGACCTAGAAAGCGACAACTGTGACACAGTAGAGTCACAAGAGTGGCAGAGCAAGCCCCTCCACGGTTTCCCAGAGGTGGCGCAATAAGCGGAGGGATCTGCCAAAGGCCAGCACGACACTGATGAAAAGCGGCCGGATGGCTGGGCCTAGATGTGAGGTGAAGCAGGGATCTACTGCGCATGCCGATTTACGGCAAGGCCGTATTTCGCCATGATGCGCAGTGGAGAAACCTGGAGAAGGTTGAAGAAGGTAGAATGACAGGCACGGAGCGGTGTGGAAAGGCATGGGATGAGCAGACGCGAACAGCCACTGGGATCAGTGTCGACTGGAGGGGACTGAGACTGGGGAACCTCCCCCAGCTCAGGAGACTGGTGCCCACCCCACCTGCCGCCTTCCTCAGCTTGCAGACGCCTGTTCAGAGGACAGGGCCAAACCTCCATCCAGTCATGACTGAGTTCCGGCGGCGCGACCCGCGGAGGGAGTGCGAAGCAGTCTTGGAGATCCATCTGGATCCTCCCTCCCTTTGGTGGGCAAGAATACAAGTCGGTGGATTTTAGGGAGCCAGCTGAAGCCTGCTGGGCCTCCCCTGGCGGTGCAGGGTCTGTGTGTTTGGACTAAGGGGCAAGAATGGTTCGGTCCAATCCTGACTGGGGAGATTGTTTTTGCAGGTTTTCGGTTTTTTTTTTGTTTTGTTTTGTTTTTTGTTTGTTTTTTTCCTCTTTATCTGGCATTGCTTTTTGAAAGCCCAGGTGTGAGTGTTTGCGAGACAGTAAGAGGTAGGCATCTGAGTTACTGCTCTGACCTCAGTTGTCAGTTACCAAGTCGCCCAAGGTTCTTGCACACCGAGGGTAGTTTCATAGCGTTAGCAACATTTGTGTTTCTTGTCTTGGTCGTAAACTAGACTTCTTGTACCCTCCATCACATTACATTCAAACTGCCTCCCCTTCCTTTTTACTTACTCCCCCTTCCAACCCTCTTAAATCTCCTCTTTCCTCTTCTTTTGTGTTACAATTACCAACACAGTGTATTTATTTATTTATTCATTCATTCATTTATTTTCATTTGCTCTTCTGGTATTGCTTTCTGTAAGAGCTGGGGAGGTGGCTATGTACGTAACACATTTTAATTTTGTTTTTCATCCCCTTCTTCCATTTTTCCCCTCAACCTCCATCTCTTGTTCTTACCTTTTGGAAAAGAGCTATCTCCCTATTTCCTAATTATCTTTTATCTTGTTCTGCATTTATGTTTTTGGTATCATATAGGAGAAATAATGCAATATGTAAATTTGTGTGTTTGATTTATTTCATATAACATGATCTCAAGGTGCTTCGATTTTCTTACAAATAACTTGTTCGTTTTTCTTTAGGGCAGAGTGGAACTCTATTGTGTATAAAAAACACATTTTCTTTATTCATTATCTGTTGATGAACATACATGACACTTCCAAAGTTTAACTATTATGAATTCTGCTGTTATAAACATGGGTATGCATGTATCCCTGTAATAGGATGTCTTTAACGATTTTGGGAAGATACCTGGAAGGGGAACAGCTAGGAAAAAATGGAATTCTAGTTTTGATCATTTGAGGAAATGCTGCATTGATTTGTACTAGTTCACATTCCCAACTGCAAAGTAGAAGGGTTCATTTTGTCACACAGCCTTGCCAGCATTTGTTATTATTTGATTTGTTGATAATAGCCATTCCTTCTGGAGTAAGATGGAATTCCAGTGTTATAATTTGTATTTGTCTAGTGGCCAGAGATGATGAACATTTCTTCATGTATTGATTTGTCATTTATACTTATTCTGAGTGGTGCCTACTCATTTCAGGTGCCTATTTTTTGATTGGTCTTTTATTTTGAGCTGTGTAATTGTTTTACATTCTTTATATAGCTTGGATATTAGCCCTCTTTCCAAGGAGTAACTGGCCAAAATCTTTTCCCACTCTGTGGGTTGTTTTTTACTCTTTTGGTTGTTTCCTTTGCTCTATAGAGGCTTTTTAATTTGATGTGATGAGATATTTCTGTTAAGTAAAGGGTTCCTTACCAAGTCACATTAGGTTCTCCCATGGCAATGGTTCTATCATAGGGATGACTAGATTAATTTTTTTGGCAGTCATAAATTAGATTTAACCTCCCTCCCCTCCATCACTTCCCTTACCATAATTTATTCCCCTCAAATCCCCCTTCTTTCCCTCATTTTTGTGTGACACTCTCAGCCCAATGTATATTTCTCACTTTTCTTTTCTGTTCTCTTAGAATATTTAGTGAGGTATATGTATGTGCAGTGATGAATAAGAGTTAAGTACTGCTTTAGTTCCTGTAGTATCTTACGTCGACATCTCAAGTTAACTCTCATGAAGAGCAGTGTATGGAGGCTTTGAAAATATGGTTTCTACCAGCATATTAATTTGTTCCAAACTTCTTAAAAGTTTCTAACACTTTCTAATAATATTTTCCTCCTTCTTCTTCCTTCATATCATCCCCACAAATAAGCCTCAAGTGCCCCCCATTCTGGTTATAAAAATAATATCACTAAAGTCTTTCATTATCTTTTTTTCATTTTCAGTTATCTCTTCTTTCCTCTTCTGAGTTATTTTCTTCCTTTTCTATTCTCTCATCCTATATATCCCATCTCATTCTTCATCAATACTACTCCACTGTCTTTTGGGTTGTTGAAAATATGTGGAATTTTTAAACTACTTTGAAATAATATTTTAATGTATGGCTGGTTTTGTAGATGCTGATATAAACAATAGTTGTCTTTTCTTCCCCCCTTAGTGCATAGGACTGAGCCTGATATGATGAATAAGTTGAATATACGCCTGAACACGGAGGCATATCCAACCAAAGGTCACATCACAGGGAGATATGCATCAACTAAGAGATTTCTACAACAGTGACAGAGCTTTCTGCACTAATTGATCTACAGCCTCAACACAAACACAGTAGAAATGTGAGAAAACAAGACAACAGGATATCTACAAAACACTTTAATTCTAACAGAAATGCTTCTCTCATGTGCACTGGAGGGGAGAAATTTTCAGACAAAAACCTCCAAAAGAAAATGTTGAAAGTGTTTGAAGAGATGAAAGAAGAGATAAGTAGATGCGTGAAGCAATTACTAAGCTGTTCAGTGAGCTCATAGAAGATGAGTGAGATTTAAAAAGGCACCTGAACAAATTAAGGACTAACAGGCACCTGAACAAATTAAGGATGACAATGCATGATGTAACACCTTTAGTAAAGAATTAGAGATTAGAGGAATCATGCAGACATCTTGGAAATAAAAACACAGTTGCAACCTATGGCAGTAAATATGACCAATTAAAGGAGAGGACATTAGTACTTGAAACCAAGGCTGATGTGTTAGCCCATCAGCACAGTGATGCTACACCATGAAATGTTGGTTCAAGGGCTCCTGGATGACTCTAAAAGAACAAATCTAAAAGTTACAGGATGGAAACCCCTTAAGGATACCTCCTGTCTTGGGAGCTATTCTTATTTACCATACCTTTTCTCCAATAAATTTTCCTGATCTTAAAAATGTAAAAAAATAAAAATAAAAGTTACAGAAGTTAAAGAAGGATTAGTGAAAAAACTGAAGGTATATAAAAATTTAATCATCAAAATCATTGTGAAAATGTTCCAAATCTAGACATGAAATGGATGCTTGGGTAAAAGAAGCAGGAGGCATTATAATCCTGCATTCAGGTTAAACTGCAGAGCTATAGGGTGGTGCTATAATAAATAGATATGTAGACTAATGGAATAGAATAAAAGACACAAAAAAGGCCCCATGTAACTTTAATCATCTGGTCTCTGACAAAGGGGCTAAAAATAAATGCTGGAGAAAAGATAGCATCGTTAACAAATGGTGCTGTGAAAACTGGTCATCCTTGTGCAGAAGAATGAATCTAAACACAGTTTTCTCACTCTGTACTAAAATCAAGTCAGAATAGCTCAGATACCTAGATATAAGCCAGAAACACTGACTCTGCTGAAAATAGAGGAAATACTCAGAACCACAGGCATAGGCAAGGACTTCCTGACTGGAATTCCGATTGAATAAGAAAGTGTACCAAGGATCAACAAATAGGATTATATAAAATTAAATTTTTTCTGCACAGAAAGGAAATAATCAACTGAGTGAAAAAACAACCTGCAGAATAGAAAATGCTTTTCCAGCTACTTTTCTGATAGCTAAAAAAACCTAGATTAAAAAAAAAAACATTAAAAAATTGGCAAATGAAATAAGTAGACATATACCAGAGGAAGTATGTATAGCAAAAAATACATGAAAAAAAATTCGGCATCATTGACCACTAAAGACATGCAAGTTGAATTAAACACTCCTGAGTTTCTATTTTATTTAATGGTAGGGTTTGTTTTGTTTTGTTTTGTTTTTTTGGTACTGGGAATCAAACTCAGGACCTTATGCTTACCAAGCAGGCACTTATGCTGCTGAGCTATATCCCTGGCCCTTCTATTTTATTTCAATAAGAATAGCTATCACTAAAGATATAAAAAACAAATTCTTATAAGGATGTGGGGAGAAAGGAACCCTTCCACATTGTAGTAGGAATTTAAACTAGTACAACCGCTAGGGAAATCAGTATGGAGATTCTCCAAAAAACTAAAAAGTAATTCCATTTGACCCACGTTTACCTCTCCTGCGTATCTGATACATGCCTACTACACTGCCTACCTCTCCTACTACACTGATACCTGCCTACCCAGGCAGTGCAGTTCACAATAGCTAAATCATGGGAACAACCTAGGGGTCCAACAGCAGATGAATAAATGAACGAAATGTATATATAAACAATGAAGTATTCCTCAGCTACAAAGAGGCTAAATTTGCCTCATTTGTAGAAAAAAATGGATAAATTTTGAGATAATAGGTGAAATGAATCAGGCATAGAATCTTAAATATAGAATGGTTTCTTTTATATGAGAAACACATGATATAAATAAGGAGTAAAATAATAGATGACAAGTAGAGGTAGACATTTTAGAGGTAGGAAAGGGGAGGAAGGGAGAGAGAAAAAGAATAGGGAAGAGGTAAAAGCAAATGAAAATGACCAACATATGCTGTATCAGTACCCCAAATGAAGGTAATTATTATGCATCAAAACATATACTAATGGAAAATTTATAAGTGGAAAAATATAAATGGAAAATAATTTTCCACTGGGGGATATATGAAATATTGATTCTTCATCATCTATGTTCACATACCTTTAATACCCAGTTCCATTTCACTGGCAACATAAAAACGATTTAAAAGAATAATTTACACAGGATTTCACAGTGAGCAAGACTTGTGTGTTTGAAGACACCCAGCACATGGATCAGAAAATCTGGGTTCCACTCGTCTTTGCCTGCATTTAATTGCACAACTTTGGGTAAGGGTAATTATCTCACAAAGTTTCGTTTGCTATAAAAGGTTAATAAATAAGCAACCTAACAGTTAAGTAGCAAGAACTTGAAATGATAGATCAAATCACTGAAAACATTCAGACACTCAAATTTGGGAGAAGTTAATGAAAATTTCATCTTTTTAATTTTGTTTTAAAGAGAGTAGTAAATGAGGAAAAAAAAGAACAATAGCAGCATAACAGCATCACAAACATAAACAAACCAAAGCAAGAACATTTACAGTGAAACAGGGTTTCTAGACAAAATAATATGAATTAACAGTGGTTGTTATATTACACATTGTTATCTTCAACTACGTTGCTCATATTACCAGACGTAAGAATGGAAGGTTGTTCAAACCATTAAAGAGAATAAGACAATAATTATTAGATAAAACATTAGAGATAATACAGAATTTCACTATACAACATGAAAATATCATCCTGATGGTTGGAGCAGCGTCTATAACAGATAATATTGCTGAATGCAAGGCCAGAAATTGGTTCCCTGTTAGTGAGTGGTGTGACTTAAGTGCTTATAAAACCATGTTGCATTTGTAGTCACTTTGAGAACATCAAACGTTGTTATCTAAAGGACAGAAATATTGCCAGAATCACTGTGACCACCTTCTGTGTGTTTAAATGCTTTACCACCTTTGTTGGTGCTTTCACCAATTCACTTTAGGACACCGTGATATATTGAAATTTAGACATGAAGCCGTCAGGAGTAAATCAGCTCGTGATTCCCTATTGCTCTAGGCACAAGTGTCATAATAAGTGTCCAACTTACCAGTGATATACATCGCTGTGAGATAGGAATCCCATTAAATCTGTACTTCATCTCTGTCCTTTCTCTTCATGCCTCCTAGACACCAATCGTGACAATCTGTCTTCTCATACAAGAGTATCTGAACTTTTCACATCTCTGTCATAGTGCACCCTCTGCCGGGGTGTGCTCTCTTTGTTTGATTCTCATATACTTGAACTATTCCTTCCTTTCTTTCACAACCCTACTTAATCACTACCTGTTCTAGCAGCTATGTTGTGGTAATTGATTACTCCTGTCTTTCAATATGCCTCATCCTGGAATCTGTCAGGTTTATTATTTTTCTAATTATAATTTATAAGACCCTTGTTGATATGTGCTGCAGTTTAAATATCATTTTTGTTCCTTAAGCACACACTACTATTAAAAGCTTGGTCTGCAGGATGGTGCCACAGGGAGATGGTAGATTCTAGACAATGAGGTTTGAGGAGGTCCTTCAGTGGAAAGCTGCTCCTGGAAGATAGTTAGGGAGACCCTTTGAGTTTTCCTGGGATGGGGTTATAAAAGAGCCAGCATGGCCCCACTTGGCTTCTCTTTCTCTCTGCTTCTGTTCAAGATGTTACCACGTGCTGTTACATGCACCTTTACCATGATGTGTGACCATCTGCAACCTCCATTACAGACAAAAAAAAACTCTGCCTGATCAGAGTGGACTTTGAACCTTTAAAATCAGTAATTAAATATACCTTTTCATAAGTTAGCTGCCTTAGCTCTTTCATTGTAGTAGTGCAGAGCTGACTAATAGAATATCATATCTTTCTCATTTCTTATATCCTAGCACAAAACTCATTCTCAAATAAGTGTGTTAAGTAAGAGTGGTCTTTGTATGTGTGTGATTTAAGGTAAATGAATGAATAAATCAGTCCTATGCAGCGTCAATAGGCAGAACCAAAGTATAGTGTGGGCAGAGAAGATTGTGCATTATGTCTTCAAGAATTAAAATGTTTAATAAGAGGGTGGGATAGTCATCAGCAGTCAAACTGTAGAGTATATTGCTTCACTGAAGGATTTGGTCAAATAGTACCAAAATAATAATACTAATAATAACAACATAAATAGTGATGGCTTTATTCATGTGTCACCTTCCACAATTACAGAGTACTAATTTTTTTTATTTTAAAGAGAAAAGAGCAAAAACAAATTAACAGAGACATAAACAAAAACCACAAAAGTAATAACAATGATACAGAATTTCAAGCAAGGTGGTAGGAAGTTAATAATGATTGTTGTTATCTTCAAATTGGTTGCTCAGATAATAAAATATAGGCATGCAAGATTGATCAAACAATTAAACATTAACTGTTCCTTTCAATAAACCAATGGAAATTAGTAGTACAATTATCTTAGCTATCTTATGTACATATATAAACATATTTTGCCCTTCTTTCTTTCATTTCTCTTGTCCCTCATCTCAGTTGTTCTTTCCTTTTGAGCAGTAAATAAAACCTGAAAGGTATAATGGACAGAATGCTAATTATGAACTAGAAACTGCGCTAAGTATTTTACAAAGATTACTACATTTCCCAGTTTAAACAAACAGAGGGGCATACCGGGTCAGATGTGTACATTTATTTGCCCTAGCTACATTATGGTTAAGTGAGTGACAAAAAATCAAATTTAATTTGGTCTGGTTTCTGAGCTTTTGCTTTTCCACCTGCTTTACCACGTATTTTTCCCTGTGCCCTCTATTCCTGTGGCAGCTAAGGGGCTGGTCTGTGAGACCGTAGTATCTCAACTGGTAGCATGAAAAACTGATCAAACTAGGACATAGACCTGGCGCAGGTCAAGGAAATGGGAATGTTGAGAGGATGCCATGGAAATAAGATCTACACTAGGAGCCCCAGTATTGTGGGAAGAGGCCTAGAAGCTCAGATTCAGATCAGTCAGTAATAGTAAAGCTCTCTACTTTTTGGTGGACCTGACCAGTCAGCCTTCAACCCCCTTTAAGAGATGAGCAAGTGTGTAGTTTTGCTTATAGAATTTATCAACAGAAATCTTTCCATGTCTTTTTCATCCCTTCAG